GGTTGCCCTCCTGATTCCTGATCTGATTTTCATAAAATTCAAGTTGAAATCGGCCCTTTATAACCTCTATATTTTTTTTCTATAACTGATCTCGTATATCCGTTGCTAAGGCAAATCCGTGTCAGTTTGTCCAACTCCTCGTCCCAGAACTCATTGTCTGTTGGTCGTAAACTTCTGATGATCAAACTCTTCAATATTCCGATCTTCATTCTGTCGTTATGATGAGACTGAAAATTAAGGATTATTCCCGCATACGAATTCTTTATGTATAGTCTCCTCATGAGTGTCCCCTTGAAGCCTATGACTTCAATATCCAGAAAGGGTAGTCGTTCATCCTCCTCCACCTCCATTGTTAATTTAATTCTTTCAAGTTGGTTAATAAAATTGAGGAATTCATTTAAATTTTCCTTACCATGTGACCAAAGTGCAAAATAGTCATCCAAGTATCGCATGAGCGCTATTGGTTGCAGTGGTGACTTCTCGAATTCCCTTTCCAACTTGTCCATGTACACATTTCCAAAAGAGGTGAGAGTGGAGATCCCATCGATAGTCCAAATATTTGCTCGTAGATACTGCTATTAAATGTAAAATATGTGGTTCTTACTGTCAGGTTGATCAATCGTGTTAACGATTCTTTTCGTATCCGTTCTGCCTCCAGGATATCCTCTTTTCGCTCCAAAATCTCCAGCAAGGCGCTTACCGCCTTCTCGCCTGAAATGTTTGTGTACATGGATTGTACATCGAAACTCACCAACAGTTCGCCCCCATCAACCCAATGTTCTGGATCCTTTGAGAAACTTCATATGAATTCTTGACGGTATTCGAGAGTCTGTCATTTACTTTTTTGAGCTTCATGCAAATGAATTTCGCTAGTTTATGTATTGCTCTGTGCTTGTTGTTGACTATTAGTCTTAGCGGATTTCCTTCCTTGTGTAGGCTGTTGGTGGTTTTGTGTCATTTTTTATTAAAGATTTCATCCCCCATCTGTCAATTTCCCCATTATTATGCATTTCCTTGAGCGTATTCTTCAGTGTCCCGTTGATCTTCGTGGTTGGATCCTTGCCTAATATTTGATAAGTATTCCGGTTGCCAAGGATACTTTTCATTTTCTCCGTGTATTGTTTCTTGTCCATTAAAACTGTCGCCCCCATATCCGCCTGAAGAACTATTTGATCATTCTTCTGTAATTTTTTTTCCGAATACCAGCCAATCTGCTCCTCTGTATCGATTCTTGATGTCTCAGGATCCGTGGGATTATTTCCAGTTCCATCTCCCGCCTTGTATCTTCTGGATATTTATCCGCTATTTTGGCAACTTCCACCAGAATATCACTAATAACGTTTCCTTCATTACAGGGTGAAAAATGTAATCCTTTCTCTAAGGGATCCGTAGTTTCAGAATTAAGAGGGATTAAAGATAGGTTTACTACCTTTGTCCTTACGTCGTCTGAGCAGTTGATGCCTTCAATAAAGAACCATCACAATTTGCCCAGGTTGGCTTGGTCTTGCGCTGTCTTATTATACCATAGCTAAGCAATTTCTTGTCATGGCTCTTATTTATCAGATCCCAAACCTTCTGTGAATTCTGGTCTGTCATGCTCTGGAGTTTTTGAAAATCATCCAAAGTTAGAAACCCACCTAGATCCTTCCTTAATCTAGACTTGAGATCTATGAAGTTAAATAGCTTACAGAAGGGGGTTGACCTCGTTGTCGCAACTTGGTCTTGTGTTAAGGGAAATTATGTAGAACGCACCGAGTCCGAAGTCGTCTGCCATAGTAGCTGTCTTGATTCCCAGCATCTGACAGTGGACTTGATATATTCTCAAACGTTTCGCCGGCATCGTAGTCGGCATCATAAGCCTTGCCATTCTCCGAATACGAACTCGTCAAAAAGACAAGTCTCTTTGAGAACCGGTTCTCATGAAAGCCGCTCAAAAGGGCACACCGTACCACAGTTAATTAAGCAAGTAAAATATTGTGACAGTGAAGGCGTGATTGGAGGATATATGAAATGTGAATAGGCCAGGGCAGAATAGTAGATACCACAACTGTTTAGCACACGTTTGGTTAAAGGATCGGCTTCACTTGTCTCTGACGGGTTGTTGTATGGTGCTAAGAATGGTAAAAATCACTGACTATGCCA